TTAATGTGACAATCGTTATGTACAAATTAAATAATAGGAAGTTGCCGCAACTGATTTGGCATATCTCTTAAAACAAGTATTGGCGAACTGTTTGGTAGGTGGTTCGGTTAGCGTCGCATTGAAATTTGATGCTTGGGTGGGTTCTTACTTGGCGGTGAGGCAGGGTGTCTAGTAAATGTTGCTGAAAATTGTATGTTATGCTGGCGATTCTCCACAGCCTGGTTAAATTCGATTCAACTGTTGAGCTACACCGACGTCTTTTGTTCAATTAATCTCCTTCTATGTGTGCATCTATTCTCAATTTCTGTGATGCCTTGTACAATTGGTACATTTGCAGGTACAGAGACTTAGTCTGATTTACGTATTTCAGACGAAAGCACACAATACTTGAGTCAAAACTGCATTGGTTGTAAGGAGGAGCTGCAGCCGCTAGCTTGGTCCGTGTATCATATCGCCTAGGGCTGCTTAATTCCAGGGCCTTGGGTGCCTTTTAAACCAAAATGATGAGTTGTGTGAATAAATTTGCCCAAATTTATGCTTGCTTTATTATCTTTCAGGGTATGAACACTCGCCGAAGTCTCTTCTTTCCTCCGAGGTGGCTAAAGTGTCCCCGTGTAGGAGGCCTTCTTGTTGACCTATTTATTCCTTTCAAGACCCCTCTTGATCACAAGTACGCCGACTTCATTCCTTCTGATGAAATTTTTGATGTCGATAGTTTGTTCGACTACATAAAGCCGGTAAGTATTTTCCTTGAGTTATTGGGTTACTTTTGAAATTTATTTGGAGGATTAACTAATGTACTTATTGCCCATCAAATGCTCTCCTTCTCCCACTAATTTAGTACCAGTTTGGTCTTGTCTTTGACCTTACGAAGTCGACTCGCTTTTACCATCGGAGAGAGATAGAAGATCATAACTGCACCTATGTAAAGATTGCCTGCAAGGGCAATGAGGAATGTCCCACAGAAGAACAGGTTAACCTCTTCATTGGTGTAGTAAACAATTTTGTGTCAAAGAACAAAGAAAACGGAAAGAAGATTGGTGTTCACTGCACTCATGGTTTTAACCGGACAGGCTTCATGATAGTGGCTTACCTTGTTCTTGAATGCAACTATAGGTGAGTCATGCCTTGCTGGTAGCGTGTGCTGTTATTTTGAGGATGCGTTTTAACTGCTTTGTTTATCTCTTCGCATTCAGTTTGGAGCTTGCTTTAAAGTTGTTCTCTGATGCTCGACCTCCTGGGATCTACAAAGCAGACTACCTCATGGAACTTTACAAACGATTTGACGATCCTGACGACTGTCCTCCTGCTCCAGAACTCCCTGACTGGTGCTACGGTATGATCTTCCTTTTTCAATCGTAATTCCGCTCGAATAAATAAGCAGCGGAAATTTAGTTTAAAGAATAGTTAATTGACTAATAGCAAACAGCGTTGACAGGTGGATGGAATCCGTTCTCAAGGCCTAACATTTTGTAGAGTAGATCTGTTCAACTTGTCCCTTGGTAATGCGTCTTCTATTCAGTTTGCTTGTGTGTATACAAGAGAGTTTTTTGGAAACTTGTTTGCTCTTAAAGCCCTGTGCTCGTATTTGAAAATAATAATATATATTTTATCATCAGCGTTAATCTAAGCAGCAAGGCAAATTTAGTGAAATGTTGATATGAAAATGAGCAATCAGTAAAGAATGCCCTACTGTTTCGATGTTTCAATTCAGAAGAAGCGTTTCAAAGCGCCACCTCTTCTACACCTTCAAGGAAACGCAAGCACGATACTGGTGTTGATGATGAAAATGATGGCGAAGATATTACCGGCGGTGGTGAGAAAAATGGAGTTGTTGCCTCCAACTCTGCCTTCACCACGCGTCTACCACCAACACCGCCAGGCCAGCCTAAGTTGATGGAGGGTGTGACAGATGTGGAAACGCTTGACCAAGCCTCCGAGGAGGCGCATCTCGTGCGCACTGTGGTTGACTACCTCATCAGGCTGGGTGGTGTTTGGCTTCGCAACGAGGGCTCAGATCAAGATTCCCTGTATCCTCCCGTCTCTAGTCTCTCTGAGGCCATTCTTCGCGAGCCCCTCAATCTCCCACTCAATTGTGATCCCACACTCCGTTTTCGTGGAAGCCAACCAGTCTCCATGACTCGTCGCAACGCTCGCCTCATTGTAGACAGCCCCTACGCGGTGACATACAAATCGGATGGGATTCGCTACCTTATGCTTATTCATGGCCCCCGGCGAATCTACCTCATTGATCGAGGCAATTTCGTCTACAAGGTAGGATGCTTAGAGTTTCCCACGGCATTGTGGTTGCAAAAGGCCTTAAAGGCTCAGCAGAATGGTACTCCTGTGACTGATTTTATGACCGAGCCAGGCGGGCATTTGGTGAATACCCTGTTGGACGGTGAGCTCGTGGCCTTCGATAACACTCCCGAGAGACCGATCAAGTTCCTGGTCTTCGATGCTATGGTGATTCAGGGCTATCCTTGTGGCAGAGAGCCGTTCGGAAGTCGATTGAATTATATTGAGAGATTTGTCATTCGACCTAGGAATGATGCAGGGCACAAGGACTTGGTAAATTTTACCAAGCAGGCGTTTTCTGTGCGAAAGAAAGTCTTCTATCCTTTGGGCTATGTTTCCAAGGTAAGTTTAACATTTGGTGAAAATGGTGCAAGTAGGAGACGGCTTTGCGGTTCATAATCTTATTGGCGTTTAACCAGATCATATTTTGGGTCTTAATAACGCAAGGCGATTGAGGTGAAATTCGATCTTCAAATAAATTCTTTGATGATTCGGTTATCCTTGCAAAATTCAAGTCGAATTTGATA